CTCATCTCTACAATAAATTAAAAAATTAGCTGGGCATGGTGGCGCATGCCTGTAGTTCCAACTACTTGGAAGGCTGAGGCAGAAGGATCACCTGAGCCCAGCAGGTCGAAAAATTAGCTGGGTGTGGAGGTGCACACCTGTGGTTCCAGCTACTCGGAAGGCTGAGGTGGAAAGATTGCCTAAGACCAGCATGTGGAGGATGCAGTGGTTCTGAGTATGTCATTGCACTCCAGCACGGTGACAGAATGACACTCTGACTCAAAAGAAAAAAAAGAAGCCGGGCTCGGTGGCTCAGCCTGTAATCCCGTGCCTTGGGAGGCTGAAGTGAGTGAACTGCCTGAGTCTGTGGGTTCGAGACCCACCTGGGCAACTTGGCGAGACCTCATCTCTACAATAAAAAAAAAAAAATTAGCCAGGCGTGGTAGCGTGCGCCTGTAGTTCCAGCTACTTGGAAGGCTGAAGCAGAAGGATCGCTGGAGCCCAACAGGAGCCCAACAGGTCAAGGCTGCAGTGGCTGGGAGTGTGCCATTGCACTCCAGTCTGGGCAACAGAGTGAGACCCCCAACTAAAAAAAAAAAAAATTAGCTCTATCATGGACACCTGGAATATTCTTACATACTTTTCCAACATCATCTTTAACATGTTGCTTATTTACAATTCAGTTAAATGAAAAGCAGCACCATAACCTTAAAACTTTTGCTGGTGAATTTTAATGCTAAGAGTTTTTGAAACTGAGTAACTATTAAATAAAGTGGCTTTGAAATCTTTAAGAAATTTTGTCAAAAAATCCAGAAGAGGCTGGGCTCGGTGGCTCAGCCTGTAATCCCACACCTTTGGGAGGCTGAGGTGAGTGGACTGCCTGAGCCCACAGGTTCGAGACCTGCCTGGGCAGCAAAACCTCATCTCTACAATAAATCAAAAATCAGCCGGGCGTGATAGCACATGCCTGTAATTTCGGGTACTCGGAAGGCTGAGGCAGAAGGATCGCCGGAGCCCAGCAGGTCGAGGCTGCAGTGGCCGGGAGCGGCCACTGCACTCCAGTCTGGGCGACAGAGTGAGACTCCAACTCAAAAAAAAAAAAAAAAAATCCAGAAGAGGCCAGGCTTGGTGGCTCAGCCTGTAATCCTAGCACTTTGGGAGACCAAGGTAAGTAGCTTGCCTGAGACCGTGGGTTTGAGACCAGCCCAGGCAACTTGGCAAGACCTCTTCTCTACAATAAAATAAAATTAAAAAAATAGCCGGGCATGGTAGTGCATGCCTGTAGTTCCAGCTACTTGGAAGGCTGAAGTGGAGGGATCACCGCAGCCCAGCAGGTCGACGCTGGGGTGGCCGTGGGTGTGTATGCCACTGCACTCCAGCCTGGGCGGAGTGAGACTCCAATTCAAAAAAAAAAGGCCAGGCTCAGTGGCTCAGCCTGTAATCCCTTTGGGAGGCTGAGGTGAGTGAATTGCCTGAGGCTGCGGGTTTGAGACCTGCCTGGGCAACTGGGTGAGACCTCATCTCTACAATAAATCAAAAAATTAGCTAGGCGTGGTAGCACATGCCTGTAGTTTCAGCTACTTGGAAGGCTGAGGCAGAAGGATCTCCAGAGCCCAGCAGGTCAAGGCTGCAGTGGCCGGGAACGGCCACTACATTCCAGTCTGGGCGACTGAGTGAGACTCCAAAATCAAAAACAAACAAACAAAAAAATCCAGATGACAATTTCACAAGAATAG